GATGAGAGCAGAGATATATGTGTGTGTGTGTGTGTGTGTGTGTGTGTGTGTGTGTGTGTTTTAAAGGTCAAGGCACCCATCGTTTTATGGTGCATCCCAGTGTCAAAATTGTGGAACCAGTTGTTCATTTGGTTCCAAGAAGTGCAGATGTTGTGGCTTTCGCATTGAGATTTCAGAAGGCAAAGTCTGTGTGTCGGGTGAGATGTTATAGTCCTGCCATAGACTTTTGAGACATCACTAGGAGCTAGAATACTGATTATTGCTTTCTTGTTCAGAGAATGAGAAACAACTTGAGCTGCTACCAAACAGTGTGAAAGAAGAGCTGAACGTCTTAACTGCCCAAAATGACGCAACTGTTGGTTGCACGCAGAGCACCCTTAATACTCAGAAAACAAGATGCACGCAGAGCCATGATTATGGAGGCCGTGCTGCACATCCTCCTTCATACAGTAAAGGAATGTGTCCCCATGCCCAGTGCCTGTCTAAGTTGTGGGAGGAAGTAGAGAACAGGGAGGACACCAAACACTTTAAGGACACAACAACCCAGGCGAATTTCTCCCTCGATATGGAACTCGATATGCAGAGTCAGGTTCAGAGGAATGACTATACCCAAAATGACCAAAACCAATCTTATGTACAAGTGGAAGAAGCAGATTACCATAATCTGAATCAGGAAGCGATGCCAGAATACTACAGTTTCAGTAACACCAGCTTAGACCATTCCACATGGAGCGATGGCACCCGGAGTGCGGACGAAGCCTACAATGATTCAGTCATGGCCACCAAAGGCAGTACAGAACTATCAGATGAACCATCAAATGCCACCATGGCCACTGCTGCAAACTCTACTGATTGTTTCTCTTGCCTTGGCAATTCTTTTGAGTCAGGAGACCATCAAGAAGACGTAAGAAAGAAGCATGACTCGGTATATGAGCAACAAATTGAGGAGATCAATGTGGGACCTTCACTGAAATCCAAATGTGGTGCTTCAGTTTCTGTGGACCAAATAATAGATGCCTGTGGTGATTTCAGAGCCTGTTTCACATCTACATGTGCAACAGAGGTTGATCAGATCTTCCAACTGAAAAATGTTGCCACTGACACAGACCTGCTAGCAGTCAGCCATGAGAAAGATACACAGACTGTGCAAATAGCCACATCTGAAAAGAACACCATTACTGAAGTCTGCATGTCTGATTTAGATGTCCTCACAGAGGTATCATAATTTCTAAATGGTATGGTTGAAGTTGTAATTTCTTCTTTTCAAATGAGCTGTGTATAACGTGCTCATCATTTACTCCTAGGAATTCATAAAGCTAAAGGAGACAACGAATGAGCTGAAACAACTGAAGAGCAGAAAGGCAAGGTAATTTGCTGAAAATGTTAGATTACAAAAATATTTACTCACTCTCATCTCATTCCAAAGCCATAAGACTTTTGTTCATCTTCTAAACGCAAACCAAGATACTTTTAATGAAACTTTCTGAGGACGATTTCTGAGCTTCATTTGAAAGGGCATTCCACCAAAACTTTGACACTTAAAATTCATAAAAAGACTGTAAACGGAATCAATTTTAATTGACCAATTTAAACCAATTCTGACGAGACGCAATCAGTTTATATGATGAACAGATTTAATTTAGCCTTTTTGTCACTTTGATCAATGCACAATACATGGAGTTCATGGAATATAATAAAAGCTGAGCTTCCGTTTCTTGCTTGACACACAAGAACAAACCTCATTGGTGCTCGTGCATCAAGCAAGCACATCTGATTTGCCATTTACCATTTTTGATGTGCTTTATGCATGTGTTGATCAATGTTTAAATAATTATTATGATTTTGTTTTTTTTTCTCATTCAATAGTTATTAATGTTTCTCAGTGTCATTTTTCAAATGTAAAATGTCCAAATTACTGTAACAAGCTGCTTAAGTGTGTTCTATATAATCAGAGATTATATAGAGATTGCTGTATAGGATTTCCATTTGTACATAAGGTACACATCCTTGAAAGTTAGGAAGATTCTACTTTGAAGTGTAAAAATGTCTTCAGTAAGATCTTTAGAATTCTGCTTTCTGAGACATCAAGTGCCCCCTTGAGGAAGACAGCTTTTTATTACAGTTATTACCTTGGTAAAACAGTGCTTCAGTTTTCATCACTGTTCTGCATCAAATCATTTGGTGTGGTTTCACTGAAGTAATGTATTTTAAAATGCCTAGAAGGATCATGTTATGTTCTTCTCAGCCCTAGTCCTGGTGTTGACCACTGCAGGAGAGTTTGTGGATGTGACTGTGCCCAGCGAGTGAGAAGAGCAGAACTGCGTCTTCTCGCTCTTCAGTTTGTCATGTGTCAGCAGCACTGCTGGAGATGCTACTTCACCTCCCCACTGGGTGAAAGTGCTCTTTGGGGGTAAGAGATGGCTCACAGAAGGATTTGTATTATGACAATTCAATACTTTTCTATTAAGGTATTCTATCCTAACCTTTGAGGTCAGCTATTTTTTGTATGTTCCTTAGGACTGAGGGCCTGCCAGAAGGCATAGCAGAAACACTGAATACACTACAGAAAGATTACCATGAGATGAGGAAACAGATTCTAGCAGGCACTCCTCTGGATAACCTTAAGCCCCTGTCAGTAGACTCTGAAAAGATAACTGCAAGGTCAAACTACAGCCCAGCATCGGTATGACAAAATCTGGAATTGTTAAAAATTTGGAAATGTATCATACCTGATACATATATATATATATATATATATATATATATACCGTAGTTGGTAATGAGCTGTCATTTCAGGTGCTTGAGGCCCATTTAAACTCATTTGACTGTCCGGGAAGGTAGGTGGTCATGATGTTTCAAATAAATATCCTTGAAAGTAACCTTTTCACAGACATTGTTAATCCCTGATATGAGTTACAGTGGTGGCCAAAATTATTATAACACTAGTATTTACACCAGCTAAAAAATGGTTTTAAGTCAGTTATTTCTATCTTTTGCCTCTGAAAAGATAACTACAAGGTCAAACTACAGCACAGCATCGGTATGACAAAATCTGGAATTGTTAAAAATTTGGAAATGTATCATACCTGATATATATATATATATATATATATACCGTAGTTGGTAATGAGCTGTCATTTACACACAGATCTGATCTCTTCATGAAGAAACAGAACAAACTGAGACAGACTAAATCCAAAAGAACTGTGGCAATGTCTCCAAGATGCTTCAAGAAAACCTACCTTTTAGCTGGTGAAAATACTAGTGTTCTAATAATTTTGGCCACCACTGTATTGTTGGAGAGGTCAAAGAAATCATAATTGGAAACCTTGAACATTGTGCTGCCACATTGCACTTCACAGCCAGGACGCTAGAGGGTGACAGTGGTTCAGTCAAATCAAAACCTGGAAATATCTGCAAACAAGTATACATATTATTATAATGTTTTGTAAATTGCTACTTTTATTCTGCAAGGATGCATTAAATTAATTAAGTGTCAGTAATGACATTTAGAATCAAAAGATTGCTATAAATGCTGTTCTTTTGAACTTTCTATTCATCAAAGATTGCTGATAAAATGGTTTTCAACACTAATAAGAAATGTTTCTCCAGCATAAAATCAGCATATTAGTATGATTTCTAAAGGATCATGTGACACTGAGGACTGGAGTAATGATGCTGAAAATTCAGCTTTGCATCACAGGAATAAATTACATTTTAAAATATATTCAAATAGAAAACAGCTGGTTTAAATGTAATATTTTACAATATTACTGTTTTACTGTATATTTGTTCAAATAAATGCAGCTTTGGTGAGCATAAGACACTTATTTCAAGAACATTAAAAATCTCACAACCCCAAATTTTGGAACAGTAGTATAGATGAATAAATATGAAAACACAGTTTCTGTCCTGTACACCGTTTTATTGTAACTTTTCCCCACATAATATCATCTTGGTCTGCCTGAGCCCTGTTTCGTCACACTATATGGCCTTGTACGTGTTCAGAAGTTCAAAGTATTATATTGTTATGTATAGCACCATTGCAAGTGGTCACAGAGTGGATGAAGAAAGTGAAGAGATGAGAGCACTGAGCACTGAAGTTTGCCAGGACACTGAAGCTGCTTTGGTAGTTCATTCACATACTATTATTTATTTGATTAAATTGTGATGAATCAACAATTGTACCTGAAATATGAGTCTGTTACATTTAAAATGGCCAGTATTTGTCCTTTCTGATTAGGATGACGGCAACAAGCAAGATAAAGCTCTGGTCTTTTTACCCAAGCAGCCAGGAGCTTCCGCTGAGAAGAACCCTGGTATGAATCTCAAATTTAAGAAAGAAATAAACCGGAATCATTTTTCAGCAGTGTTTTATATGCATGCTATGGTAGGTGTCATCAAAGATCCGAATAGCAGCGAGGCTTGGTTTGATGCAGAAGAGGAACTTGGGTCTCCAAATCAAGATGGAAAAATGGAGGAACTGAATGAAAGGAAAGAAAGTATGGACTACAAAATAAAAACTGCTGTTATATAAGCGTAAAAGTATGCTTGTGAAGCTGAAATACTGTTTATGAAAGCACCTGTTGCTGTTGGCTGATGGATTTAGTTGATGTCTAATGTTTGCTACTCTTTCACAGGGACTGATGAAGATAAATCAAACCACAGTTCCCTCTTGTGCATTACAAGCTTGCCTGGCAATATCGCTGAGGTTGAATGCATACAAATGTGAAGTTTTCAGTTAAGTTAATTATGGCCTCTAGGAGGCAGCAGCCACCACTAAATGTTCTATTTTCTGTAGCATGAAGTGCTGCTTTGGTTTGAGAAGTACAATGCCACCAATGTCTGCATCTCCACTTTCAGCAACAGTATGAGGTAAGCGTTTCCCGTGTATGCCCAAACACTGAGTTTAACCACTGGTTCAATTTAAGGTATAAAATATTTATCAACACTATCACTTCAGAATTTTAGAGTTTGTTTTCAAATAAAATGGTATTTACTGCATTACACTTTTCCTAGACACACTAATATCAATCTCAGTAAATGGCAAACCTTTAAAGTTAAAGCTGCAGTCTTCGTAACTTTCGGCGCTCTAGCGGTTAATAAACAGAACTGCGTGCGTCTTGCGGAAGAACATTGTAGCCGGAGCTACTTCTCTCTGTTTATGATGAATCATGCAGGTACTGGTTTACTCCGCAGCAGTACCTATCTGAACCAATCTAAAATAGTCCGAATATAAACACTTATTATAGGTGTACCGTAGTGATTCAGGACAAGCCAAAAACACTGGAAAATGGATTCATGGTGTACTCGATTATTATGTAAATTTTGAACAAAAAAGTTACGGACTGCAGCTTTAAGTATTAGAGCGTAAATAACCATGGACTAAAATAGTTTCATAAACAGGGAAACCTTGCTGAACTTGATTATGACTTGATTGAGTATGATTACTCATTTTGCCTAATCTCATTGTACCAGTACAGCAACAGTCAAGAGCCTACAGCTCCGCACCCAAATTGTGATGGTACAAACTGACAGTAGTAGCATGTTTAAAGATACAGTGTTTGTTTTTTATATTAATCTTTAGAGATTTTGTAGTAATGCTGAATGCAGTAGTTCTGGGCGTTAAAGCATTATTAGAGATTATCATTAATGAAATGCACTCTTGCCTGTGCTTATGTAGGGCAGCTATTGTTTATCTCAAGAGCCCCAGCGATGCCAAGGCAGCAGTTAAAGATCTACACGGGTGCTCCCTCCAAGGCCACACTGTCCAGGTGGTGCAACTCCGCGGGCCTGCCTCAGCTGATCCTAAACTGATCAGTGATCCGCCCCACAGCACCTCAAAAACCCATAAAGAAGAAGCTGCTGCTTCTGGGGATGGACTGGGAACGAAGGGTGTAACCTACACTTCATCACCTGGAGTAAGTATGAAGTGAAAGGCTTTTTAGAAAGCTTGCTGTGTCCAAAACTACTTAATTTTCTATCACTAGTACTTTGAAATACAATCGTGTGTGTGTGTGTGTGTGTGTGTGTATATATTATTATTATTATTATTATTATTATTATTATTATTATTAGCTAACATAATTATAATAGCTAATTAGCTAATGTATTATTCTTATTTTAAAAATTGTAGATGTATATATATATATATATTCTTTTATAAATTTGTTTAAATTATTGCTAATATCAGACCATTTTTGCTTTTTTGTTCCAAACCCTTAAGATGTCGTTATGTTTTTGACTCAGGGGCCGCGCTGTAGTGTGGACAGGTTAACCAATGTCTGCGACTCGCCCACAGCCTCTGGCACCTGTGTGCCACAGCACTACGCCACCATGGGAAGCTTTGACACAATCATGGCCCGGCTTTCAGAGTGCCACCCAAATGTAGGCCGCCAGAGGATCGTAGATGCCCTGCTGGAACTGCGGGCCAAGCATCAGGGCTTCCTCAGTGGGCTTCCTTTAAAATCTATAGTGGATATGACCTCTGAGCTTCTAACACAGGCCTCAACTCCGACATATATTTGAGTTAGTGCTGTTATAAGCAGCGATAAAGGCCTTGTAAATAGTTCCCTGACTAGTATGACTGGATTTCAGTTGTCAGTTCATTTTTTTTTCAGCTAACTAATGTTATCTACAGCCATTTCGTTGTAATTCATTAATCAGAGTATTTCTTTCTCCTGGAAATGGAGTTATTTTTTAATTCATTTCAGGTTTTCATCTCTGCTGTTATCAGTTATGCTGTGCATATAGAAGTTTCCTTGTGTTTCCTGAATAAAACTGTTTTCCTGTGTTTCCTATAATGATTTGATTTGATGAGTGCAAGCCCAGGCACAGTGTAGAGCTGCACATTTCAAATGTGCAAATTTCAGAGCATTTCAAGTCATGTGACCAGGGTTTTTTTGCCGTTGTAAAAATGGTCTGTGGTGGAGGGACCCTTTTTATCACTCCTGTCAGCTCAGGTAAAACTAGAAGCCCTTTCTATTCTTGGAGGTACCCAATTGGTTCTCCACAGTTTTTTTCTGTGGAACAGGTGGGGATGTAATTAGTGATGGTCACATGACTGCTGATTGCGCTGGATGAAATTTTCAAGCCAGATCTTAAAGAACTACTGACATTAAAAACATTTACAAAATGCTCTAAATCTAGTTTTGCGAGAAGAAACAGCATGCAACCATTTTAATGTAATTTGACAGTTTTGTGTGAGAAACTGATTTATATTTTAGAGCAAAATATGATTGTTCAGTCCATAAAACACCTTTATTGGTTACTAAGGTCAACTAATCAAAGGGTTAAATGTCCTTTCAACTGTTTCGTCCTATCGGCGTTACTTTCTCCCCTCATATTCTGACTAGCCCCGCCCTTCGTTTGATTGCCATTTTCTTTTATTGGCAAGGACATTTGAATGACTTGTTTACTGTCCAATCAGTGCATGGTTTGAAGTCGCCCTACTAGCCAATCCCAGCGCAGGGGGGCGGGACTTGTTGGACAAACATTGGGAAAAAACGTCCGTTCTCTTCTCCCATGGGCGGAGTCTAGAGTAATGTGAGGGACGCGGCAGGCACTCAATTATTCAACTTCCACGCTGAAAACAACTGGATGATGAGTAAAACAGTCTGTTTACAAAGTTTAAAATGTATTTGTGAATGAAGTTTGAAACTCAGTATGGATGCAGTCAATGGTGAATTATTGCAGTGGACTTCAGACAGAGTGCGACAGTAACAATAACTTCGAATGTGGATTATTGTTCAGAGTTGCGGTATGTGTTTACCAGTTGACTGCACTGGACTCTAACTTCAGTCGTGTGTGCCGCTGTGATGTGGAGAGGATGGACACAAAGAAGATCTCAGCCACTCGCGATATAAGAAACGGACATTTATAATAGAAACTTTTTTATACAATTGGACAAAAAAAACAAAAACAACATTTTTTGACGTTGAACGGGCTTTTGATTTTGTAAGGAATAATGTGGAAACCTTGCCCATTTACACATCACCCGGCCCTTCTACTTTACATAGTCTTGGAAATATTTATACACAGTGTCAAAGGTAAGTGTAGTGCAGTTGTTAGTGAAATCACATCTGTCATCAAAATGCTATATCTGATTTCGTTTAGATAAGTAGGTTTAATACTAAATTAGTAAATGCAAATGCATGAAATAAATGTTTGAAAATATATACATTAATAAATTGTATGTTTGAACATTAATTTACTTTCCCCTTAATTTTTACAATAATTCATTGCATCTATTTACTTAGTGTTTCATTTATGTATTTATTTCACCACCGCGATAATGAGGGGAGGTCAGTTTGCCCCAATTACTTTTCTAAGCAATTCTGTGACTTTGTATCGTTTCTCATGTTTCTGTCTTCTTAACATGAATCACTTGTGTGGCAGAAATCCTTGGTTGAAAGTGTCTTTAGATAAATAAAAGGGTGTTAAATGCATATATTCATAATACCTATTTGACTTGCAATGGATTTTTTTGTAGGTCTTAATGTTTGCATGAGCGGCAGCGCCACATCTTGTGAAGAATGTCTCCTCATTCACCCAAGCTGCGCCTGGTGCGCGCAAGAGGTACTGCGAGACACTGTGATTGACAGAAGATGTCGCAAAACCTACTGAGCTGCCTACCTAGACAGTACTTTTAGCCATCATAGACTAGTCAAATATTGTCTAGTTAGGCAGACAGACCACTGATTTATTTATAAATGTGAATATACTTCAATAGTCCAGGGCTTCTGGCTGTTTACAGGTTGCTAAGAGCATTACTGCTGTATTTCACTGCATTTGTGGGTTTGCTCATTTATTAAATGCTTTCCTCACATCACTTACCACAGCAATCTTTTTTCCCGATTCAGGACTTTGGACAAGCTAGAACTCTCAACTCACGATGTGACTTCAGCCAGAACTTACAGAAAAGAGGATGTGATGCCCCTTTCATAGAAAATCCCAGGAGTGGCAGCTCTCTGTTGCGGAGCAAACCTTTGAGCTCCAAAGGTTCTGGGGTGACCCAGTATGATGTCATCCAGATATACCCACAAAAGATCTCTCTCAGCTTAAGGCCTGGTATGCATCTTCTGATTGGTTTAGAGAAGGACACATTTTAATAAAAACATTTGTAGATACCTTGAAATAGCATGTCAGTTTAATGACTCGTACATCCTTCAGGTGACCAGACCTCATTTGAAGTACAAGTGCGTCCTGTAGAAGACTACCCTGTTGATTTGTACTACCTGATGGACCTCTCGCTCTCCATGAAGGATGATCTGGACACAATCCGCAACCTAGGCACCAAACTGGCTGAGGAAATGAGGAAGCTTACAAGTAACTTCCGCCTTGGCTTTGGCTCTTTTGTGGATAAGAACATCTCACCCTTCTCCTACACAGCCCCCAAGTACCAGGACAATCCGTGCAATGGGTAAGAAAGAGACTTCTCGCAGATGTGTGGTGAGCTGTAAACAGGTTTGAGATTGGCTTTCCTTATGTCTAAATTCAAATGCAAAAAGGCTCTTGTGCCTTTTGCCCTTTAATGCCCTTTGTTATGCAATGGAGAGAACAGCTACTCGTTAGTGAGAACTGTTTGGACACAGTACCTTCTCATCTGGGGAAGTGAATGTGTCTTGATTTCTTTCCCTTGTGATACTAAAAATAGTCCGGCTTTGGCATTGACTTGTCTTATGGGGAAAGTGCATCATTGGAAATTCAAAAAGCACTCGGCATGCCACAGTTCTGGACTTGTTAACCACAGCCTTATGTCACACTTTAAAGTAAACACTTAATTTAGTTGAGAAACATTTAAAGATATTTTGTCCTGCTTTCACTGGTGGTTATTGTTCTGGTCCAATGCAAAATAGTGGTAGACTTATTGGAAGGTGTGACAGAGCAGATTGAGGTTGCAAAGCCAGTACAGCACATGGCCTAGGGAAGCCCACATCCCATCATGCATCAGTGACCATGTAGGTTATGCTTTCAGTCCTCTTGAATGCTCACTGTATCACAACAGATTTCATACAGATAAATGACAAGGCATATACCATATTCTACAACAAGTACATGTACTCTACCCTTTCAAAAATAATATTTTACAATTATAAATTGTTTAATATTATCTGACTATATTTCATGAAGTAATTGAACTAATTAAAAACGATATTTTATACAGAACTTGTACTATACCATTTGCATATAAAATGCTGTGTTTAATATAAGACTTTTTGCACATGCTAATATAATGCTTATTTAAATCAATTAAATTAAAATGTATTTAAAAAAACTTTAATTAAAATTGTAAGTTTTTTTGGTGCTGGTATTTAAATTAAATAGTTTTTAATGTGTATAATTAAAAAATAAAACTATAAATATTTGCTTGGTTTTAAAAGGATAATATCATGTATATTTAAATGTAAAAATAGATGTTTATAATAATATAATATCAAAAACGCTATCATTAATTTAATGTATGATTTCAGTATTGCTTTTTAAGCTTCTGATTTCTCTCATTTTTCTCTTGTTCCAGATATAAGTTGTTCCCAAACTGCGTCCCTACATTTGGCTTCCGTCACCTCTTATCTCTTACGGACAAGGTTGACCGTTTCAATGAAGAAGTGCAGAAGCAGATGGTTTCGCGGAACAGGGACGCACCAGAGGGGGGGTTTGATGCCATTCTGCAGGCTGCCGTTTGCAAGGTAAGCAGTCAGTAAAGACAGGTCATTTTGCTGCTTCATCACTAAGCTTCTTTGACTCCTTCAACTCTCTATAGAGACAGAAAGCCTGTCCAGCAATTGAGAAAATGTCTTGTTTTTGTGCTGTGCTATCTGAGCTTTATCAGAACCGATACAGGTGTCTGAGTCCTAAAATAGACACACTAATATAGCATGACATGATAGGCTGTAAAAATTATTTGCTTTGGCATGAAAGGCACAAACACAGCATGCATGAGAGAAAGAGACTGTGTGGTTTACACTGAATTAGAGAGGAGAGCCTTGCCCATTTATTCACTGTACAGTACGTGTTAATCAGTGCTCGTTCTTGTTAGTGAGACTAGTCAGAACTTGTGTGTTGAATTTGCCATGTGTTTCTCATTTTTTCAGAATTGCTTGAACATCCTGTTTTTAAATATTCAGCCATCTAAAATATTAGTCAGCATGGTGTCTGATATTTGAGTAGTTAGTGGACTTTTTGTATCTAGATTTTAGGTAAAATATATATGCATCAATGAATGAAACCGTACTGGTCACCAATTTTAAACACCATTTTGCCTGCATTTTTTTTTTTTTAAGTATATTTAAAATGGTTCTGTGTTGTGACACAAATGTAATATAAGTATATATTCCGTTTAGTCTCTTAATTAATATTTGGCTATAAAAGGTGCATGCATAAAAAAAAAAAGAATGACCAAATTGCTTTACAGTTCTATTTCATGTAGGCTACTAATTTATACTGCTACTTTAACTTTATATTTTTAAACAAATCTATTTCTTAAAAGTGATCATAAATTTGTTTTATTTGGAAAAACTCTCCATATGTGAATGCATATCCATATGAGACAACTCTGTAATATAATTTAACTGATCCATCAACTATACAGAAACACTGTGTACATGTACAACAATTTAATATAAACATGGTATAGAGATATGGTAACACTTTAGTGCAGGGACCAATTCTCACTATTAACTAGTTGCTTATTAGCATGTCTATTGTTAACCTATTGGATGTTTATTAGTACTTATAAAGCACATATCCTGCATGACCATATTCTACATCCCTAATCTTACCCAATACCTAAATTTAACAACTCCTCCTTACTATTAATTAGGCAGCAAATTAGGAGTTTATTGAGGCCGAAAGTCATAGTTAATTGCTTGTTAATGGAATAAATTGGACCTTAAAATAAAGTGTGACCAGAGATATGAAAAGATATAGACTGGCATAAATGAAAGTTTAATCTCATTGTGGCAGGAGAAGATTGGCTGGAGGAAGGAGGCCTATCATCTCTTGGTGTTTGCCACCGATGACGTCCCTCACTTGGCTTTGGACGGCAAGCTCGGTGGACTAGTGCATCCTCACGATGGACAGTGTC